AAAATTTTCCCTAACTTTTATTAATTTAAAGCAAATTTGCCCATATCATTACACATCACTCAATCATTGAATGATTATTTAAATACTAATTTTATAGTTACAAAAGTAATCATTGCTATATTTTTGATGGATTTAAATTAATTCATTTTTGATCACCTATATTCTTTTTTTTTGCCGTTTTACATTAGCATATTGTTTTATTTTGTCAAACATTTTAATTTAAATCAAAATAAAATGTATTTGGTTACAATTTGTTACAAATTATGTATATATTAAATTTATTACAGTTTATGCTTATAAACTTCTTATCATTCCAATACTTCATTCTAACACATTCTAACACTAACACTTCTTGTCATTCTAACACTCTACAAATATTGCAATATTATTGCATTAAGAGACCTTTTTTCTCCTCCTTCCGCTTTTCTTCATCCGCTTCTCTCGATCTTCTTGATCATAATTTTAGAATGTGGTAAGATGCTGAAATGTTTCTTTACACCGCATAGAATATCATCAAATTTCTGCAACCAATTTATCATATCAATTCTTTGTTTTTCCATCTTTTTTTGCTAATACCACCTTGCATTTGTATTGACATAAACATGTTTATATTTATCATTTTTCTTCATTTCATTTACTTACTTTTTCTTTCATTTCATTTACTCAATGATAAGTATGAAATTACTTGAATCAACTACGTTTGAATGCTGCAATCCAAGATGGCAGTTCGGTATAACGTTGCGTAGTAGGTATTCAGCAGTGGAGGAGGAAAGAGTAACAGTCAGAAGCTTTTTGCATTTATTATTCAGGAAAGTGAGACCTATCTTCCACTGCTCTTTTAGACGGCTTCCTATATTTCAATATATTGGTTGAAACAATGCTTAATTTGTTAAAATGATGCTTGCAATAACACATTTGGCTTATTCCTTTTTACAGGTTATTTCAGCTTGTTGCAAATTTCGATTATTAGCAGACGAAGAGGACATATTCTAAATATGCACAAATCACCCATCTTCATTTCTCGATATTACAAGACCAAATCAAAGCCGATGCTAGGTTTACCCTTTTCTTTCGCTCTTCCTGATCTTACTTTCAATCTCGAAACAGTTTCATATCATGAATGGCGAACATATAGCTTCTGGCTCGGCATTCCAACTCATGCCGACTAAATCTTGTGCAACAGTTTCTGGAAAGAACCAATGACGTTGATTACAGTCAATGACTAGTCAGATTTTACATCGACTAATAGTATAATTCGTCGACTGACATATATGTTATAAGCGAAAATAATAAAGCAAAACAATAGTATGCCTAGTTAAGCCACAAACATGAACGTTAAGAAATTTCAAAACTAAGCTTTAGGATGGACAGGAAGTCCGAAGGGAAGATTTCATGATATTATTCAGTACATATAAATTAATAGCATTAATTACAAGCAATAAAGCAATGCAATTTTCCCTTCTCGTTAAAATAGCCTCAATTTGAAAGTTTCGAAATTGAAACGAAACGGAATAAAACTGTGCAAAAACTGTCGCGACAGCTTTGCATAAATTAATTATTTTCCACTATGCAATGTAGCAGCCGAAATAAAATCAATCAGTATAAAGGAAACAGCCAGTGACGTTGGTTATTGTCAATGACTAATCCGATTTTACCATCAATTTTTTCCCATTTCAGTGCTTCAAATTTTTGATTGTGTTATGTTTGAAGGCTAATCGACTGATTCATTTGGCAGCTGCCTTCATCACATTATATGTTATTAAAGAAGAATGTTGCAAAACTAAGCTTTAGGATTTATATGGATTAAAGAAAGATTTCATAATATTATTTAGCATATACAAATTAATAGCGTTAATTACAAGTGATAAAGCACTGTGCAGTTTCTCCCTCTCATTGATACAGCTTCAATTTTGGAGGTTT